TGTAGCAAATGCAATGATGCATAATATTTGTTGTAAATTAAACAATTTTATGGTGTTTGTAATCCAAACAAAAAATAATAAAAAACAAATAACGAGACAATAAACACAATGACACCAAGACTCTGCCACCATAGAAGTCCTGTAATGCACCATTATGCTGTTTACAGTATCAAGTGAATTGTATAGAGTGAATATAATAAAAATAAAACAAGACACGTACACACACATGTGTGGTCCTACAGTTTTTGTTTATGTCCTAACGGATGCTGATGCTGCTCCAGCCGCTGCTTCAGAATACAAGTATCCTGATAGTGTCACCAACACAAAACAGCACACAATAACCTAACCAGCATAAACAAGTGGTAGAGTTTGCTTTTTTATTTTATTTATTTTTACTCTACAACAATGTTTTTCTTTCCAAGATGTGTTTTTATTTTTCTTTTTCGACATTATTTACAAAGTTTTTCCCCATCAGACAGGTGATTTTGTTTTTGAATAATTTATGCATCCATATGTTTTACTTTTCTACTCCTTTGGTTGTATTTATACTCTTTTGCTATTTGCAAACTAGAGTATTGTTACTTACTACCCTGAGGGTTTATAACCTGTCTCAAGGATTTCTCCTTAAACATTTCGTCAAAGTTAATATCTTTGAACTTTAGTCTCACATACACACTCATGTACTATATAGCTGGTATAAGTTTTAGAACAAGGTCATACATTTCGAAAAAAAAAGTTCTTTTAATTCTTGTTGTAATTACTAAAAGGCTTGAAACTGTAAGAATGAACTTGTTGATAAAAATTGTACACATTGTTACAATATGTATATGAAAACGTAGCTGTAAATGATTGACAAAGTTTTGTAATAATTTGTTGAAAAAATGTTGTTGTATTGTTGAGAATATGAGAATTTAATTAAAATGTAAATTTAAAATGCAAAATAAAAGGAATGAACTACAATAAAATAAAGTGATTGGAAAAGTTTGAAAATATATGGGTAATAAAATATAGTCTCAAACAACAGTTTTGGGTATATAATCAACTATAATATGGACTGAAAAATATGTTATACTCTGGCCTATAGTTTCGACAACAGTTTGGTCTAGTATTGACGAATGTATCAATTATATTTAGACTGCTCTATAGTCAAATTATAACTCTTGTCTGTGGCCTCGGCAATCTTATCTATAGATAATCGATGATAAATTCGACTGGTCCGTAAACTTGACTATTATTTATTCTAGACTATATTCCGGTCTTTAGTCTTGCCTATAGTCTGGTCAATCTGATCTATAGTCTTGGCTATACTCTAAGTTATAGCCTCGACTATAGTTTGGTCTATATTCTTCACTATAGTCTGGTCTGTAGTCATGACTATAATTTTGCCAATAATCTGGTCTATACTATAGTCTGGACTTCAGGTTTGCCTAAAGTTCAATCAACACTCGACAATAGTCTGTAGACTCGGTCCCTAGTCTCGTCTATATTCTTGTCTACAGTTTGGTCTAGTCGTGGTTATAGTTTGATCTATAGTAAGTCTGGTCTAAAATCCCGTACATTGACTGGTTCATAAACTCTTCTATATTCTTGTCTAAATTCTCGTCTATAGCCTCGTCTATGGTCTCGACTATAGTTTAGTCCAAAATCTCATCTATAAACTGGTCCCTAGTCTCGTCCATAATTTTGTCGACAGTTTGTCTATTGTCTAGTCAATAGTCTAGCCTATAGTCTAGCCTATAGTCTAGTCTATAGTCTAATCTATAGTCTAGTCTATAGTGTAGTCTATAGTCTAGTCTATAGTCTCGTCTATAGTCTCGTCTATAGTCTCGTCTATAGTCTCGTCTATAGTCTCGTCTATAGTCTCGTCTATAGTCTCGTCTATAGTCTAGTCTATAGTGGAGTCTATAGTATAGTCTATATGTAGTCTGTAGTGTATAATGTAGTCTGTAGTGTAGTCTGTAGTGTAGTCTGTAGTGTAGTCTATAGTGTAGTCTATAGTCTAGTCTATAGTCTAGTCTATTCTATAGTCTAGTCTATAGTGTAGTCTATAGTGTAGTCTATAGTGTAGTCTATAGTGTAGTCTATAGTGTAGTCTATAGTGTAGTCTATAGTGCAGTCTATAGTGTAGTCTATAGTGTAGTCTATAGTGTAGTCTATAGTCTAGTCTATAGTCTAGTCTATAGTCCAGTCTATAGTCTAGTCTATAGTCTAGTCTGTAGTCTAGTCTGTAGTCTAGTCTGTAGTCTAGTCTATAGTATCGTCTATAGTCTCGTCTATAGTCTAGTCTATAGTCTCGTCTATAGTCTAGTCTATAGTATCGTCTATAGTCTAGTCTATAGTCTCGTCTATAGTCTAGTCTATAGTCTCGTCTATAGTCTAGTCTATAGTCTCGACTATAGTCTAGTCTATAGTCTAGTCTACAGTCTAGTCTATAGTGTAGTCTGTAGTGTAGTCTATAGTCTAGTCCATAGTCTAGTCTATAGTCTAGTATATAGTCTAGTCTATTCTATAGTGTAGTCTATAGTGTAGTCTATAGTGTAGTCTCTAGTCTATTCTATAGTGTAGTCTATAGTGTAGTCTATAGTGTAGTCTATAGTGTAGTCTATAGTGTAGTCTATAGTCTAGTCTATAGTCTAGTCTATAGTCTAGTCTATAGCCTGGTCTATAGTCTAGTCTATAGTCTAGTCTATAGTCTAGTCTGTAGTCTAGTCTATAGTATCGTCTATAGTCTAGTCTAGTCTATAGTCTCGTCTATAGTCTCGTCTATAGTCTAGTCTATAGTCTCGTCTATAGTCTAGTCTATAGTCTTGTCTATAGTCTAGTCTATAGTATCGTCTATAGTCTAGTCTATAGCCTCGTCTATAGTCTAGTCTATAGTCTCGTCTATAGTCTAGTCTATAGTCTCGTCTATAGTCTAGTCTACAGTGTAGTCTATAGTGTAGTCTATAGTGTAGTCTGTAGTGTAGTCTGTAGTGTAGTCTATAGTCTATTCTATAGTCTAGTCTATTCTATAGTGTAGTCTATAGTGTAGTCTATAGTCTAGTCTATAGTCTAGTCTATAGTCTGGTCTATAGTCTAGTCTATAGTCTAGTCTGTAGTCTAGTCTGTAGTCTAGTCTATAGTCTAGTCTATAGTCTAGTCTTAGTGTAGTCTATAGTCTAGCCTAGTCTATAGTCTAGTCTTAGTGTAGTCTATAGTCTAGCCTAGTCTATAGTCTGATCTCTAGTTTTGTCTATAGTCTGGACTATATTCTGGTCTATAGTCTTGACTATAGTCAGTTCTATAGTCTCGGCTCTTCTATACTTTTGACTAACTATTGTTTGGTCTATAGTCTCGACTTAAGTCTAGTCTATACTCTCAGCTTAGTCTATAATCTGGACTATTGTTTGGTCTATAATCTCGACTATTATAGCCTGCACTATAATGTGGTATGTAGTCTATAATATTGACAACAGTCTTGTTTATGGCCTCTTATCTTAAGTATAGCCTTTGCTATAGTCTGATCAACAGTCTTAAATATAGTCTTATTTATAGTCTCTTCTGATCATTAGTCTTGATTGCAAAAATAAATTTTTTAAAGTTTTTTCATGAATTATTGCAAATTATTAATTTTAATCAATTTACTTACTTGATGGAGTATGTGAACGCCAAAAAAATTCAGTTGCCACAGCTTTAACTGTTAAATGCATCTGCAGATAACCAACCTCCATATTTTTATTTAATAATATTTTATCTTAACACCTTTTAAAGGCAGTTTTCTTCATGCCATTTGCTAAAAATATAATAAATAAACAGGTTATTTGGCGGTGACGAATTGATTGTAGCCTACTTCAGGGATGAATGCTTAAAAGCCTACTAATGTTTTGAGTACAGATCCCGGTATCTCTTTTGTAGAATAGATTAAGTATAAAATGTCCAAATGTTATGCTTGAAATATGAATATTCAGGTTCAATCTGATCTTTAGTGAGGTTTTGTAATGCAAAAATGTTATGTCTAAAAAGTAAGAAAAAATTATTTATAACAAAAGCCCCTAATATACTTACTACTCATGCTGTAGGGTAATAAAAAATTAGGCGTAAAAAACATTAATTATGTTAGCTGTATTTTTAGTTGTTCACCAAAATGTTTTACAATTATTGCAACAACTTTTAGTTATTTTTATTATTATTATGTGTGTGTATAAATAACAGCAATTTTTATAATAGAAAAAAATCTATGGTTTTTATACTTAATTTAATTTTTTTTTTTTACAATCACCATAACAAATCAACAACAAATGTTACTTGCGTCCATGCACTTCACTTGCATGGACATTCATTAATTTATTCTTTCATTTGGTTCTAATGGTCAATGGCCTTTTATTGTAGTTTGTGGGTAAGAGTAGTAAGATTATGTGGTAGTTGTTACATGTTGGCCAATATGTGTAAGTTGGAGTTAACAGTTTTTTATTGCCTTTTTTTATTTTTTTTTGTTTTTTGTTGAATTTTAGCCAACTGTTCTAGTACTCGTACATATAGACATGTTTTATGTAGGCACTCATATAGACATGCAACTTGCACACGTTATTCTTTTCTGTTTTTTTTTTTTTTTAACCAGTTGCATGGTATTGCAATTGAAGCTAAAACCTGACTGAATGTCCATATATGAGCTCATGCATATGAAATTTATGATGGTGGTATTTATTAAAATCACTCGTACCTTTATTGTTTATTTCTTTTATAGTTATAATATTTTTGGAAAACACCGTTTGATTCTTTGCATGAGTTCAAAAACATTACATTTTTTCCCCCTTTCAGCCAAAAAAGTTTCTGTAACAGTTTAACACAAGTTAATGCCACAATTTATAAAACCAGCCGACCGGCTGGTGGGGCAATAATAACTGTTACATACCTTTTTATAGCATAAATATATGAAATCAAATTGCTTTTCTCTGTATACATATTTTTTGTAATTAAACTCTTTTTATTAAATTGTACTTTTTTCCTTCCTTTAATTACAGGGTGCTGGTAAAGAAATTCGCGAAGCCATTGCAGATCCCTCGCTACAGGAAAAAGCCTGGTCTGCCGTCCTGCCTTTAGTTATAAAATTAAAACGTTGTTATGAACATTCACTGGAATTAGAGAAAATTGTACCAAAACTGCTGGGTCAGTTGGTGGGCGGTAAATTAAATCCTACACAACATTTAGAAACACAACAGGCTCTGGTTAAACAGTTGGCCGAGATTTTAGAATTTGTTTTAAAATTCGATGAACATAAGGTGAGTTTTTGACAAAAAAATTTAATATTTAAGATTTTTACAAAAAAAAACTTATCGCCTTGACTTTCGTCTGGGCTATAGTCTGGACCATGGATCTGGTTTACAGTCTCGACTATAGTCTACTCAATAGTCAGACTAATATCTGGTCTACAGTTTCGTCTATAGTCACGATTATGGTCTGTTCTATAAATAGAATATTTTTTGGTATGGTCTTTGGTTTCGACTATAGTCTGAGATTTTAGAATTTGTTTTAAAATTCGATGAACATAAGGTGAGTTTTTTTACAAAAAAAATAAATATTTAAGATTTTTACAAAAAAAAAAAAAAAACGTATCGCCTTGATTTTCGTCCGGCCTATAGACCATTTTATGGATCTGGTTTACAGTCTCGACTATAGTCTACTCAATAGTCAGACTAATATCTGGTCTACAGTTTCGTCTATAGTCACGATTATGGTCTGGTTTATAAATGTAATATTTTTTGGTATGGTCTTTGGTTTCGACTATAGTCTTAACAATTGCCAGACAATTTATAGTATCGTCTATGATCATGTTTATAGTCTGTATAAAAATCTACTATCTTCTGGCCTATAGTTTTGACTACAGTCTGGTCTATAGTCTCGACATAATCTGGTTTATAGTCTGGTCTATAGCCTCTACTGTAACCAATTGTCAGACAGTCCTGCTTATAGTATCGTCTATAGTTACGAATATAGTCTGGTCTACATTCTTGACTACAGTCTTTGCTTTCGACTATAGTTTGATATCTAGCCTTGTCTGCAGTCTTGACTATAGTTTGATCTATAACCTTGTCTACAGTTTGATCTATAACCTTGTCTACAGTCTATAACCTTATCTACAGTCCGGTCTATAGTATGGTCAATATTCTCGACTATATTGCCGACTATAGTCTCGACTATAATCTCGACTATACTCTCGACTATAGTCTCGTCTATACTCTCGACTATAGTCTCGTCTATACTCTCGACTATAGTCTCGACTATTATCTCGTCTATACTCTCGACTATAGTCTCGACTATTATCTCGTCTATACTCTCGACTATACTTTCGTCTATACTCTCGACAACTATAATCTCGAATATAATCTGGACTACACTCTCGACTATAGTATAGTATGATCTATATAGTATTCGCTTTCGATTATAGTCTGATTAGTAATCTTGACTGTATTCTGGTCTATAGCCTTGACATTTTTCCGGTCTATAGTCTAGTCTCGTATATACTCTCGACTATACTATCGACTATAGTCTCGTCTATATTCTCGACTATAGTCTCGTCCATTCTCTCGACTATAGTCTCGTCTATACTCTCGACTATAGTCTCGTCTATACTCTCAACTATAGTCTGGTCTATTCTCTCGACTATAGTCTCGTCTAAACTCTCGACTATAGTCTCGTCTATACTCTCGACTATAGTCTCGTCTATACTCTCGATTATAGTTTCGTCTATATTCTAGACTATAGTTTCGTCTATACTCTCGACTATAGTCTCGTCTATACTCTCGACTATAGTCTCGTCTCTACTCTCGACTATATTATCGTCTATAGTATCGTCTATACTCTCGTCTATAGTATCGTCTATACTCTCGTCTGTACTCTCGACTATACTAACGTATATACTATCGCCTATACTCTCGACTATACTATTGTCTATACTATCGTCTATAGTCTCTTCTATACTCTCAACTATAATCTCGAATATAGTCTAGACTATACTCTCGATTGTAGTATGATCTATTTAGTATTTGCTTTCGATTATAGTCTGATTAGTAATCTTGACTATAGTCTATAGTTTCAGCTATTGTCTTGTCTGTTGCCACGACTATAGTCTTGTCTATTGTCTCGACTATCTTGTCTTGTCTATTGTCTGGTCTATAGTCTCAACTATAGTCTGGAATATTCTCTCGAATATAGTCTGGACTATACTCTCGACAATAGTATGATCTATAGCCTTTATTTTCAGTAGTATGGTCAGAAGTAGTATGGTAGTAGTATGGTTTCAGAAGTATGGTCTCGTATATTGTCTTTTCTACAGTCTCGTCTATAGTATAGTCTATAGTATGTTTTATAGCCTAGACATTAGTCTTCAATTTAGTCGAAACTATCCTATAGTCTCGGTTAGTCTTATGTACTGTCTTGACGATATTCTTGTCTATAATTTCTTATAAATCTGGTATATAGTCATTTCTTGATTTTAGGCTCGTCTGTAGTTTCGACTAAAGTCTTGTCTCGACTATATTCTATTGAATTATGATTAAAATTCTTAAAAAGTTTCCAAATTCCGAAACTCAATTTGTAACTTAGTCTATAACCGAAGTCGTATTGCTATACTTATGTATGTGTAAAATTAACTTTGTTTAATGATAATTTCAACATCCATCCATCACTTTCGTCGTCTGACACTTAAAATTTGCACCCACTTTTTGTTACTGCCTAAAAATAACTCCCTTTAAGCTCAAACCCTGTAATTGTAACAACTCGAACAGCTACTGCAATTAACTCATTGATTTTTGTGTAGGTTTTTTTTTGACGTATCTTTGTTTTTACGATATTTTTTGGTTGATATTTCTTGCGTGTTTTATAAGCGTTATAAGGTTTTTGTTGTTGTTGTTTGTTGCTGCTTTTATTTTAATAATATTGGTGGTGGGCAGTATCGCGTGGTTGCATTTTAACATTATTTTTATTTTTTTTTTTAATTTTTTATGTTTATTCAAACCCATCATGCACGCAAAATCGCTTGAAACTTTTTTTTATAATCAACAGGGACGCGACTAAGTTCTTTTACGTTCGTTTTTGTAATTTGATTCTTATTTTTCAAATTTCCGTTTGCTAGTTCTTCATCATCAATGTTTTACGTTTTTAATCATTGGATAAGTTTTAATTTTTAAATCAAAGGATTGTATTTTTTTCTGTTTAAAGTTTAATGATTAATATTTATATACTATGTTTTGGTTCTAATGGTTTTTTTTGCCTTTTTATCCAAAATTTATCATTATTTGTCATCATCCATGGGGAATTGTTGTTGGTCCCCTGAGTGTAAACATATAACAAATGGAGGTTTATTATTAATATGTAGGTGTGACACTTGACATAAACTATAAGCTGCAACTTTATTAAGAGAAGTAACGATCGATCAAAACATAAACAAATGTTAAACTAACAGAACTGAAAAGTCCCTGTTGCAGTAAATTTATATAGAGATTTGGTAAAATAATGTTTCTTTATTAAAATAGGTAGTCGCTTATCAAAATTGGGACCTGAAAATCCTGACCTGATCCATCTTTATTAAAATAAGGAATTGCTTTTCAAAATTGTAACCTGATATTTGATTTAAACTCAGAGAGTGATTCTGCTTAGTTTAACTAAGATTAGGTTCGTTACGTGATATAGTGCACAGAGGAAAAAATATACACGTCTGGTACCAAATTGAAACAAAAATTTTCAATAACATCCTTTTTCAAGTATAACTTTATGCACATCCGTTGTCTAAATGTTAACAAACGTGGTAAGCTCACTATTGGCAACGTAATTTGAGCTTACCACGTTTGTTAACTTTTAGACAACGGATGTGCATAAAGTTTAGATTGCGACAACGAATTGTTGCAATGTTGACAAAGTTGCGTGGTCTACATTACATGTTGTTGTTGTATGTATGTATATACTTGACAATGGATGTTATTAAAAACTTTGGTATTAATTTGGTAACAGGCGTGTATATTTATTTTTCCCTCTGTGTGATGTCCGATTAATCAAATTTTTTGGAGGACATGTATTTACCTTTTATACTTAATATGCATAAAAATTTCTTAATAAAACTTGAAAATAATCCTTGAATTTCAATTATATGCATATATTTACTCCTAAAATGTATTCCTTTGAAAGTCTTCTTTCTTTGCACCATCATCAAATATAAATTTCACAAGCTATTTTGCATAAAGAAATAGAATTTCCTTATCTACCACCTGAGTCCCCAGCAAAACATGTAAAAATTTTATGAATAAAAGAAGTAAAAGAAAAGAAGTATATTAAAATTTATGAAAACATAAATGAACATAATCGTTATCGATTTATTACTATACAACATAGTATACTGTAACAGTATGTAAACTCAAGTACGAGTATTAATGTGGGTGTCTGTAAAAAAAACTCTGCTGAAGATTATGACAACTTAAGTACCAAGAACAATCAAAAGATGGCACAAACATGGAAATAAAATCCGCAAGAAAACCAGGAAACATATTTTAGGTTCTTAACACGAACTATAATCGAAATAACAACAGTAGTAAAAGTATTGCATTTTAAAAAAGAAAACCGAAAACAAGTGATTATAAGTGTTAAGCATTATAATGTTTTTGTGTTTGAAGGATTTTCGCTTAGAATTTTGAAATTTGAGATAGAAAGTTTTCATATTATGTATAATAATTATTTCTATATGAACTAAACAATAGAATTTGTTAACCTAATAGATCTTTACTTTCTGAAGAGTAGTATCTTTTAAAACTTCAATTACAATTGCTCACTTTAATCTATGAGCCAACCATCATTGTCTGTACGCGTACAGATTTAAATGTCGCTCCACATGACAATACTTAAAGTTACAACATATGCTCTTAACTTAAAGTCAATAAATTCTAAGGCATCTTACAAAAAAAACTTCTACATATGAACACATTGATACCCCGATATGAAATTAAAGTTACAACATTGTAAATGCAACACAGTGGGTCATATCTTAATAAATTTTGGTGAAAAAGTAATTTGTCAGTTAAAAAAGTTACTTTTCAATATAAATGATTTCTTCAGGAAAAAAACTGATTTTTCAGTGAAAATTAGGATTTTTAGTGAAAGGTGAATTTTTTCAGTGAAAAGTGAAAATGTGATTTTTTTAGTAAAAATGTGAAATGTCAGTGAAAATGTTGATTTTCAGTAAAAAACTGATTTTTCAGTGAAAATTAGGATTTTTAGTGAAGAGTGAATTTTTTCAGTGAAAAGTGAAAATGTAATTTTCCAGTG